CTTGTCAAGGCAGTCAGTGGTCGAGCATACGTAACATATGTACCAACCACCTCAACTGACAAAGATTCACTATTTCATCTATTGGTTTGAAATCCTTACCTAGTATCCCTTTCTTAACAACAGTATTGCTTACTCGGATGTCCCAAGACACACGAACAATGCTTCTGAGACACCTATGATCGGAAACCACTAACCACTACGAATATCTACTTTGACTGGCCATGTTTCAGAGTCATAAGGTAGGACGGAGCGAACTACTGTGCAGTACACTCGCCCTTTAGTCAGCAAACGGATATCTCGCCTACTCCATGAGTGATGGCAAAAGCCAATCGAGCCTTCTGTATCTGTGCTGAGATTTCTTCAGACACGAGGCTATCAGCATCAATGAGGCTACTAAGACTAGTGAAATAGTTGATACTTTCAACTGCTTTACTCCCAATCACTAGGTCACGTACCGACGTAAGCCTATTCTGAATCAACATTTTGCATTTCGAAGGGGGAGAATCGCATCCCGAACGAGTTTGCAGTGAAATATAAGATTAGCCTAACTTTTTTTCAGTAGCGGTCCCAATTCTAATTTGTCACATTGTACAAAGTAGCTTAGTTCACATTTCATCCTGAAAATCACCTTTGTGAAGTATCTCTGTATTCCCTCCATAGTTAATATTGCTTATGCATAAGCCACGAAGTATAGACGGACGATATCCAAGCACTGGTTACACACTAACCTTATATAGTACTAGCCTAAATTCACGCTCGTGGAATTTATGAATTATACAACCTGTGTGTGTGTACGTGCCTTTAAGCCGAATGACGTTGCATTCAGAAAAGGTTAGATCATTGGAGTATCTCAAGCTAAAGTCTAAGATAGCCTGATCTTGACACACTTTTTAATATCAAGGTGAATTTTGCCTTTTCTACATCATACTGCCATCTCGCCTAATTCCATTTAATAAGGAGATGTCTTATCCTTCGTCTCAATATCATGAACAGACTAGGTTAAGGTCATTAAGGTATATAAAAGTATTCTTTAACTTAAAACAACTGCAACTACTGTTGATATATATTATGAATAAAGAAGGACTTAGCACACTACATCATGACCCCACTTGCTGCCTTTTCAGGTGTTGATTTCTTTGAGTTAACTTTAGTAATTTGGTACCGACCATTTAAGATTGATTTAAGTCAACTGAGTAAGGTGTTGCGGTTTCCTATTCGAGTGCCTTAGTTATGCCAAAATGAATGACCGGTGCTGGTTCACGTGATTCTCAACATTGTGTTACGTAATCAAGGAACTCAAATCGACAGGTCATACTCGACCTAAATGTTAGGAAACCCTGTTTTGATTTGGTGAATAGTTAGAGGTGCCGATTTTTTACAATCATCTCCGTGACTCTTAATATGACTGGAGTGATGTTAGTGCGCCTATGATTCACTCTGTCTGTCGTTTTGAAATATAGAATAATGTAGTGCTAGCTTAACATTTGTCCGGGAATATGCCTATATCTAATAGCATGGCTAGTGTCTTAGGTAGTATGTGCGACGTGTCATCACCATCTCTTTTAACGCATATTAAGGAAATACCGTCAGTTTCAATGCCTGTTATAGTCTTATGACTCTTTTGCTTGAGATATATTTTCAGCACTGAATGGTAGATTGTTACAGTTACTAGATTTAAGTAATACATTGTTTAGGCTTATAGACTGCTGTTTACTGGAGTTTCTGGAGATGTCACTGAATATTTTATATGTATATACTTGAGGTCATCATAGACCGCTGTCCTGAGTAATAAATGGCATTTCTTTCGGTTTACGAATGCATTTACTCATGAATGATGTTTTTATAGCTATTTTTGAGCGTTCACTTCATTATTTTGGTTCCGAGCGTGTAATTGGTCTGACAGATTCTTAATTTTCATATACCGATCGATCTCAAGGATGAGAAATCTTTAAAAGTGTGGAATCGTTCAAAAAGTTTCCTAATCTTCACGGAGTATTTATGTGGGAGGGAAGGAAGACCAATTGATGTAATTTTTTTCAGCAGCCACAGTATCCAAGCATGACAATTAGTCTTCCTCAATGTCTCTGTGTACAACTACCTGTCTTCCAATTAATTTCAGGAAGATGGAAATAGACAGCTGATGTTGAAACGGATGCTAACATTTCGAACGATACGGCGTTTAGTCATCTATACTTAATTCTACATCGGGTTAGTCAGTCAGTTACAGCGTGGAACTTTGTGCGTACGTACGTCATACACCGGCATCAGAGACTGACCCCCACGTTTCAGGTTCCAGGATGCTTTCTGACGTAGTAATTCGGAGGGTTGATCTAAGTTCCTTGATTTTATTATTTGAAGAACTCACATTCATAAGCATAACCGTGAACTGACGGTTACTTAAAAAGTAGTCCGAAACACTGCTTACGCCTAAATAGCTACAGATATGTTTTGGATGTTTAGTTCAGGTGGCAACCTATCCAGGATGATAAATGTAGTAGGTGAACATTTATCAGTTTCCTGCGATATTGACGAGACTAGCCTAGCGTACAATTCATATGTGTGACAGATGCCGTTGCTTCATAAGGTTTGTGTCCTATCTAGTGATATATTATTCTTCGGGTCATCTGGTTTGGGAAATCGAATTTTTTTCAGCTTTGTGGCTGTACTAGTCGATGTTATCCTTTGAAAGAAGAGTTCGAACATTCAGTACAGTACCTTCTACAACGTGACACATGCATTAGAAGGCAGCTAGACAAACGGTGGAAATACTACTAATGAGATGATAACAATTGTATTGGAAGCTTATAGGCATTTCATAGATGAGTCCAGGCCGCTCTTTAAATCTCCCTTGTCCTGCTTAATCGTTTCTGATTTCGGGTATTTTAGTCATGAATTATTCAGGTAAAGGAGCATGAAACTATTATTGGAGTTAAGATCATTGTCATGGTGTTGTGTGACGAGAAACTTCTACTGTTTGCCTTCAAGCTTCTGAAACCTCTAGGACTTCCGTAAGTTGTTCACACAGTGTTCTTCGTTGTAGAGACATGCTTACTATCTAGCACATACTATTTCCTCGCTACACAACTTGTTGGGGTGGCATCTGTTGTCATATTATTGATGGTTCTTCTATCCCGATCTACATATTTTCGGTTGTTGTCATTATGGTGCCCTACTCATTTATATATATCTGATGAGACTAGTTTGTTCGTCCTGTAGTGAAGGAGAACACAGGTGACGGCAACCGAATTGTATTAATCTCAAATTACAGAGTTAATCAGTAAAATAGGAAAACCATATCGTAAACGGTTAATTTGCAAATCATCAATCCATTGTCTGACATTTCACTGTTCATGTGTTTCATACAAATTCCATTGTGTTCCCACTCTTCCTTTCTTGATCTTCCCCCATCTTCTGCTGCCAGACATTACGTTTTCACTCGCGTCATATACTACTTATAAGTAGCGCGCACCACAGTCCTAGCGACATTCAGACTTATGTTTTCACGGGCAATTTTAAGTGCGCCTTTAAAATAAATCTCTTTCGCTTAATTGCCTAAGTGAACTCTGTGTGTGTGCAAAATACTAGTACGGTTTTATGTTAGATGAATCTACTTGAGACATTCGCATAAGCAGACAGACAATAGCGAGAAGCATATAATTAAAGTGACGAAGGCTAATGCGCCGATCCTGGTGGAGGTATGACTGATTGCTTATAATCAGACAAAAATAAGTAATGCACACACTCAAGTAACGACAACTTAAGTTTTAGGCGATTAAGTGAAAAGTTGAAATGATGTGCGAATAAAGTCCAAAGACTGGAACCAATCCTGTAGACTCGAAGTATAATGTCAATCTTGTCGGTTAGTGGGACATAGATGGAATTAAAGCATGACTACGTTAGCTGCGCGCTGATTGGCTAATTTCCTAGCCAATCAGCGCCTGATCGAATCTTGGAGAACAGGGTAAAAGATTCTCGTACTGTTAGCTGCGTGCTGATTGGTTAAGTCTAATCCAGTCGATCACGTGAATTACTACTATCCAGAAGCTTCTCATGTAAATGCTATAAATAGACTAACGTTGTATCTATTTTTGCCTTCTTCGCCTTCGCCATCACCTTTGGCTTCTTATTTTCCATTTAACCTTGCTATTTGGGAATATAATCTTTTCCTGTTCCACTGTGTTTTTGATTCTTTGGAACACTTGTCCAGTGTATTGTGGTCAGAGAATACTAAGCAATAGGATTTAGCTAGAAAATATACAAGCAAGCGGTTACAACAGTGTCGGTTAGTTGTAATTAATTACATTTGCTTGTAGCCTTTGAAAACGGTCCTCACACCTAATTATAACCAGTGGTAAACATCATTAACATTTTCATTTTGAGTAGTACGTACATGGTAACTGATGAGACGAAAACAGAAAGTAAATAGTTCCACCTGACAGCTTCTACTATTCACAGTTTACTCCCTCCCTATAAAACTTTGCCTAGAGCAAACCATTAACAATCGAGTTTTCTACAACTAACTAACTGCATTGTCACTCCATCCTACGTACAAATTTATCATCTGTCACAATCATGATGGGGGAAAAAAAACTGACATCCAATTAATAATTGTAATTGTATATATTAAAAATTATTCCAAAAATATGTAATAAAACTTAGCGATTAAATCAACAACAATAAATAACCATGACCATTATATTACACGGACGCCACAATGTAGGTAGGTAGATTGGTTGGTATTTTATTTCCATTTCATTGAATTTTCTCCTACCTACTTCTTCCATGTTAGAATCAACATTTATCTGGTTGAATAGTGGTGGTAGATTTGGTGAAATCGATTATTATTGGTAGTAGTAGTATTATTCGAACGATTGGGAGAATTCCGTGTTCGGCGGTTATATTTTTTCTGACTTGATATTTTAAATCAATGAATTGTTTTCGATTGTCCAATAATAAATAACACAACATTGTTTGTATTCTGTTGAAAGTTTCTTCTTCTTTTACAGAATAGTACAAAATTGTTTTTCCGAAGGTAATATCATATTTCTATTGGTTCTTTTATTATTTCGTCGATATGAATAATGGTGATGCATTTTCCCATTGGCAGTGTTATTATTACTACTGAATAAGATTTCTTCACCGAGAGGTAAAGGTTCATATATTACTCGCTGAAATGGAATACAAACAATAATTGAAGAAACGAAATGGGTAAGCAAAATACAGCATCAGTAGTAGTGTAGTGATCGAGAACACAGGTGGGGGGCAACCCGAATTGTATTTAACGAAAATTACAGAGTTACTCAGTAAAATTGGAAAACCATATCGTGAATTGTTCATTTGCAAAATATCAGTTCATCATATCGAACTGGACTGTTCCAGTTGCAAAACATCAATCCATTGTCACTATTCATGCGTTTCATACAAATTCCATTGTTTTCTAACTCTTCCTTTCTTGATCTTTCCCCATATTCTACTGCCAGACATTACGTTGACACTCACGTTATATACTACTTGTAAGTAGCTCACACCACAGTAGTAGTAGTAGTATAATGTTCTGTCGCATAAGGAATTAAATAACCTGAATTTATTTACGTTGTGAGTTACAATCAAATAATGAACTGCTACACAGATTTTTCTTGTTCCTGACACACTTGAGTGGTACAACAAACCGTCACCGTCAGTATACACATAACAATTTTGTTGTTTGTTCAAGTTTGTGGATCAGATTTCTAATAATAGAATTTATAACAATGATAACTTGGAAAACCAGTGGTCAGTCAGTTGCAACGTAGAACTTCGTACGTAAGTACATCAGTTCATGTTGCCATACCACATCAGCACAGAGATGTAATTGTCAATTAAAATCCAATAGAAGAAGAGTTAGTAAGGGTATTAGAAATAATCGGAGAGGTTAGGATGAGAAGCATGATTAAATGAAAAAAGTTTAGAAAGTCAAAACTAGAGGTGTTGAAGAATCCAGAAGATTAGGATTTGAGAGAACACAAAGAATAAATGCACCGGCGCCACTGGAAAACCAGTGGTATGTCTATCTGATGAAAGTTTATTGATATTGAAAGATTAACACTGAATAACTACTGTCGTTAGTACGGCTTCATTTATGTGCGTTTCTGTAAAATTCTATACTGACTGACAAGTAAGTCTAGAGTGCATCACAGTGCGTAATAGACAAATGTAGGCAGCCCAATTAATGCCAGCAAGTGAATTTAATAACTTCGTCAGCGTCACCGCCCATTCATAACTTTTTCTGTCATTTTGGCTAACTATGCACCTTCCTAATTGGTATTCTATTGTTTTTTCATAGTGAACACTTCTCAATCATGAATATTTTTACTGATTGAAATAAAGTACTCTAAACTGATATATCGTGCAATATGCTCACCACTAGTGACTAGCTTCGTGAGGAGATTCTCGGAGTTCTAGTGAGAAAACGTAACCGGTGGAGTTCAACCCTGTCAGGTGTTGGTGATTACCTACCGCAAAATCCATAGATTGATTAGAGTTAGACATTAACACCGTTGGATGCCGGTCCAGAGGTTATGCGTTCGCGCGCAAGACTAAAGGTTTTGGGTTCGAATCCTGCTAGGTGTAGGAGTCGTGGATGCGAACTGCTGATGTGTCCAATACCAGGACAAAATCGCCGTTGAGTGCTCGCAAATTTCTAACGGTGATCTTGCAATGATTAATTATGATACATCATTGTTCAAAAACTAAACAGGTTTTGCCACAGTTTAACATGTTAATAATAACTGAGGTTAGTTAGGTGCTTTTGTAGAAATTAACTCAAACTTGAAATGTAAACAACAATTGCACTGGATATTTAGTGTGTTTACTGTCAAATATTGAACGTGAGTTAAAGGTTAATTCGCAACCGGTACAACAATAAATACTCAGAGCCACCAGGACATAATCATCTTTTACATTTTTTGAATATATATACAAAGAACAGCTTACCTGTTTTTTATTATTGTGATTCATCTTTTTGAATCCAGTTAAATCGTCGCGTAGTTTTTTCTCTTTTGACTTTCCATTGTTCATTCTTGAATAATGTGAATGAATCATATCAAAAAGAGAAAAGAAGGAATTTATTAATCTATTTGGAAATAAATATATCAGGAGTTGCTTACAAATGTTTTGATCACACTGAGTTAGTTATATGACTATCATTTTAAGTGATTTTAACACAATGCACACATGCATTACTGTAGGGAACTATTGTTGTACACTTTGATGGAAGCGCTTGTGTTATTATAGGGATTGTTGAGTTAGTTAGTCAGTGTGCTGTTAACGGTATGAGGGCGGTTATCACGCCCCAGCTGCTCACACCGTGTAAGGTTGTTTCTTCAGGAACCTGAAAAGGAAAATAGATTATTGTTGGTCTTGGAGACCTGAGTGCGTGACCGCAGAGCCCAAGGGACAACTGCTTGAGGCCGGTCACGCACGGCCTTTTTATGAAAGGTTTTTAGAGGATTAGCTCCGCTCTTAAAGGCCCTTAGTGGGCACCCTTACCTAAGGAGACGGAAATCCGTGAGGTAGGGTGAGGTATGACATTTTTAGGGTCGACATTTTCTAACCCTTCCTTCCTTGTGAGAAGGCATCATCGCTGAAGATGCTGGTTGTTCGAGGGAAACACCTTACTGCTGTCACACCCCTCTGCAGTCAGCAGTACGACTTCGCCCTCAGACCTTGGGTAGCTGCTTTTAGTCTCATCGTTCTCTGATCGACCTGCCTGGCATGGTAGAACCTTCAGGAACATAAGTTCCAGCCAATATAGCTCGGTTGGGTCATCACGATAGGCAAGCCCGACCACGTCAAGGTAACATCTTCGGTTGGGGTTGTTGAGTTAGATTGACTGCAGATAATATAACCTACATTTGAAATCATCAATCAATCATTGTTAGACCACCATTAGAAACTATTAGAAACAATGATTGATTGATAATTTCAAATGTGTAAAATCACGAATCTCCAAAACTCTGCCCCAAAATATCGTAATAGTGCTTGCTCACTAGTGACTAGCTTCGTGAGGAAAGCCTCGGAGTTCTAGTTGAGAAGACGTGACAGACGGAGATCAACCCTGTTGGGTGTAGGCAGTAACTATTAAAGACAAATAGGTGACTTTGCGCAAAATCCGTAGATCAATCAGAGTTAGACATGAACACCGTTGGATGCCCTCCCAGCGGTCCGATGGTTAGGCGTTCGCGCACAATACCGAAGGTCCTGGGTAGGAATATTGCGAGGTGTACGAGTCGTGGGTGCGCACTGCCACAGGATTCGAACCCAGGACCTTCGGTATTGTGCGCGAACGCCTAACCATCGGACCACTGAGCCGGTATGTAGCGGTGTTAATGTCTAACTTGATCAAATTCACGGAGTTGCGCAACCTCATACATAGTCTTCGGTAGTTACTGCCTACACCCGAACAGGTTGAACTTCACTGGTCATGTTTCATACCAGGACGAAACGTCCGTCCTGCAGTGCTTCCAGGTTTCTAATGGTGGTCTAACACTGATCGATTCATGGTTTCAAAAATGTGTAACTTAACAATTAAACACCAGTATTTAAAACTAAAATTATCAGCATAACCAATTGCAGTGAAAAAACAGAATGAAATCCGTATTTTAATGCGCTCCTCCGAAATTATTTTCAACAACAAGTGGTGATGATGAAGTTAGGTCATGATTTATAAAAATAATTCGATTAATTTTCAAAAATAATCGATACACAGAAGATTGACTTTGAGTGTTTACAGAGAAGTGAAATCAAAATCCAGAAATTGATGTGGCTAGGTTTTGATAAAAATAACGTCAATAGCATTTGGCAGTAGGTTGAATTGTCACATTGAATGACAAAGCTAATAAGGTTAGAATTCAATCAACAGAAACGATATCTAATGCTGTGCAAACTTAAACATAAGACATATGGTTAAATAAAAACAGAAATAGAGGGATTCAGAATACGGAGTGAATTGAGGCTAAGAATGTATGCAAACGTGTTGCATTATTTGATATTACGGCTCGTCAACCAATGTCCTTGAACATAGATTAGGCTAATCGCGAGTATCCCTATATGGGAATTTACGCTCACAAAAGAATGATATTTCCTTAGACTATAGAGCATTCATGTGCTGTCGTTATATCACTCACTGTTTACTTACGCGTTGCCAGACATATCCGATTTTGAACTCCACTGGATGCCTTTGTATCTTAGTGTTAAAATTCTCAGTGCAAAATTGATCCTCAGATTTGATATCAAAAGCCGGGATGTTATCCACTTAGCTGCTGAATCCTAATAAACACCAACTCTGCTTCAGTAAATATGATGTTTACGTCATTCGTATTAAGGCGTTGAATTAACTTCTGAATACCAGCAACTCAATACATCAAAGCCTTATTGATAATGGTTATGTGAACTCAATGGATAGTGTGTAAGCAACTGAAGTACTTTTTTCGAGTCCCAACCTCACTGCTACTACTATACTAGTGGATATTCAGCTACCGGGTGCTAAATTGGACGAATGCACCGCTGGCCACAAACCATCTGTCTGTGCTCATTAAAACTTGTCACAAAATGGTCATATCAACGTGATCACCCATACACGGTACACTAATTACCAAATAAAGAGTCACTGAAATTTAACACTTTTATTAGTGATCGATTCGAGATCGACTGTGCTCACCACTAAATACTAATTATGAATTGCAGCTATGTACTGCAAAATAACCAAGTCAAGAAATCCCTTGCCAGACAGAAGTCAGAAGACCAGTTGTGATTGGAGATGGAGGTATATTTGTTAGTGATCTAGTGATATCAAAAAAAAATATCAAGATCACAACTAAGGTTGTGGTCGAGACGACCGGAGCGATTTCAGTGTCACGTGATGTGGAAGAGAACGGCTACTTGGTACAGATAAACAAAGGAGTACAATAAAATAATCACTTGTTCAATTGGTTACAATAATAAATGTTTCCAGTTCATCAGTCGCGTTCTCTACTACACACTAAACATCAACAACCAAGCAATTCAAAAAGACAGTCAGTCAGTTAAAACGTAAGACTTTGTACGTGTTTACATACCACATTAGCACAGAGACATAACTGTCAGTTTAAATCGCATAGTGGTGGAGATAGTAGAAACATTAGTGGTCATGGATTCGAGGGTTCGAGGTAAAGTTCAGTAAGATAACTTAAGAAAGAGGAAAATAAGATTTCAGCGAACACAAAGAGTGGATGCACCTGCGCTATTGCAAACGATTTTGAGCCTTCATTCAGGATCTCTAACCATCGGTGAATTTGGTCTCGCGGATCCCAAACAGGCAGTCTGCATCTATCAACATGACTCCTCAGTCCACTTGTCAGTGACTTCATGGATTTGTGCCATATTTTGTTTTGGCCGCCCCTAGCTTTCTTCCAACCTAATCCTACACCACAAAACTTAGATCATCCAGGCAGTCGATTGTTGGGCATTCAAAATACATGTCCCAACCACCACATCTGATGAAGTTTCAGTACTTCGTCTATTGATCTGCCATCCCTACCTAGTAGTACTCGATTACTATAATCGAATACTAGTAGCCTACGTATGTCCTCTACTCTTACCGTCTATGTTTCACATCCGTATAGTAAGTTGGACGGAGTGAACTGCAGCGCGGTACACTCGTCCTTTGTTTAACAAACAGATATCTTGTCTACGCCATAATTGTATAAATGAAAATTGATTAAATCTGATTTATTAAATTAATTAACTTACCGAACACAAATTAATTTATTAATAAGATTTTGTGATGTATTTAATTTTGACGATGAGATATAATTTTCATGATTGATCTTATTATTAGTAGTATTAGAAGTAGTAGTATTAGTATTAATAGCAGAGTAATAATGATTATTCTCATTAATGAATTCATTTTCACCAGATCTTAAGTAATCAAATTTTTGAATGGTATTATCATCATATTGATGATAAGGTCGACATAGTTCATTATAATGAATAGTTGAATCATTGTTATGTTGTTGTAATTTTTCAATTAATTCATTTTGTAAACTTGTTTTCATTTCATTATTATAATCTATTTCACTGAATAAAAAACACACAAAAACAGACACAGAGAGAGATGAATGAAATTACTAATCATGCTTGTTTTTTTATCACATTAGAGGAGAACCAAAATGAAAAAGGAATACAATTGAAAAATTTTGGAAAAATTGACTTATTTCTAACCATGAATCGATCAATCAATGTTAGACCACCATTAGAAACCTGAAAGAAGCACTGAAAGACGGCCGTTTCGTGCTGGTATGGGACTAGCTCATCAGTGGCAGTGCGCATCCACGACTCCTGCACCGCACAGGATTCGGACCCAGAGACTTCGGTATTGTGCGCGAACGCTCTAATCGTTAGACCACTGAGCCTGTATCTAACGATGTTAATGTCTAACTTGATCAAAAATTCACGGAGTTGCGCGACCTCATACACAAGTTTGAACTTCACTGGTCACGACTTCCCATTAGAACTCGGAGAAGATTCTTCACCAAGCTAGTCACTAGTGGACACATGTCATTGCATTGCGTGGTTGTTGTGAAGATTGTTAAGTTTTATTTGTAACCATGAATCGATCAATGTTTCATCAACCTAGCCCATCATCTCAAAATCGATCGAGAAACCCAGCCTCGTCCATTGCAAAACATCTAATGATGAGTGGTCATTAAATTGACCCAAAATCAGCTTTTAGAGTTGTGACATGTCATCAAAACCCACACACACTAAAACTACTCGAAGCTGTCTTGATTGGTCGTAAAAGTCCAACTTTATGTGTTCAAAAACAACTGTATGTTGACCTTTGTTTACCATGGTTCTAGTGAGTGAATGTCATGCTAAATAAGAAATTTTGACCTTATCTTCAAAACTGTATTTACACAAATAACATGTTGCTTGTATGTGACTGACGAGAAAGCACGAAATGGTACTATCTCACAAAATATGTCTTCTTATTTCTCTATTCAATGTTAGACCACCATTAGAAACCTGAAAGAAGCACTGTTTAGACGGCTGTTTCGTCCTAGTATGGGACTCATCAGTGGCAGTGCGCACCCACGACTCCTGCACCTCGCAGGATTCGAACCTAGGACCTTCGGTATTGTGCGCGAACGCCCTAACCGTCAGACCACTGAGCCGGTATCTAACGGTGCTTATGTCTAATTTGATCAAAAATTCACGGAGTTGCTCAACCTCATACACAGGTTTGAACTTCACTGGTCACGACTTCCCACTAAAACTCGGAGAAGATTCTTCACCAAGCTAGTCACTAGTGAATACATGTAAGTAAAATTTGAAAAAAAATCAAACGGCTGCTGATTTACAACAACTTACTTATTACTAGTATCAATTAAATAATAAATAATATTTTGTAACGAATTAATTTGTGATGAAATATGATTTTCATATTGTTTAAAATTGACTTCTGCCTTGTCAATTTGTTGTAGTGTTTGTAGTAGAGGTAGGTCAGATTTCCATTCTTGGTTTTCTTCGGCTTGTGCTTCCACTTGGTCAATTTTATTCTCTTCTTCTATTGTCAAATCTTGCTTGGATTTACTACCATCCGAGTTAGTTTCATGATTGATTTTTGTGGACAAAGTGTACATTTTATGTTGATGATGATGAGTTGATTCATTTTCATTAGATTCTACTACTAATAAATCAATTTTACGAATTGAATCATCATGATCAATTTTATTTGGTTCACAAATAATTTCATTTTGATGAATGGACGATTCGTTATTATGTAGTTCTCCGGGTAATTCATCGGGTTGTAGTAAACTTGTTTGCGCATTATGATAATTCATTTCGCTAGAATTTTTGATTTTTGAAAATAGATAAAAGATGAATAAAATCACAAATGATACTTGTTTCACATTAAAATGAAAAGAATTAATTTCAATTGAAAACTTGAATTATCATTCTGTAGTGAATGAGAACACAGGTGGAGGCAACCGAATTGTATTTGACGAAAATTACAGAGTTAGTCAGTAAAATCGGAAAACCATATCGTAAATCGTTCATTTGCAAAAGATCAGTTCATCCTATGGAACTGGACTGTTCCTGCTGCCAAACATCAATCCATTGTCACTATTCATGGGTTTCATACAAATTCCATTGTTTTCTAACTCTTCCTTTCTTGATCTTCCCCCCATATTATGCTACCAGACTTTACGTTGACACTCACGTTATATACTACTTATAAGTAGTCCGCACCACAGCACCACAATTCAATTAATTAATTGTACGTACAACAACAACTTACTTATTATTGTTATCGATCAATTTATAATTGGGGATTTTTTTCGATGAAATTTGATCACCATAATATTGTTTAATTTTCATTTCAGTTTTATCAATTTGTTGTAGTGTTTGTAATAGAGGTAAATCAGATTTACATATTTCTTCTACAACACTCTCTGTCAAGTCTTGTATGTATTTGCCATTTGAATAACTGGCATGATTGATATTCATTGTCATCAATGTGTTGTTGTAATTCTGACGAGTCAGTTCATTGTCATTAGACTTTGAATTCGGATGAATGGTTGGTTCTTTGTTTTGAAGTTTACTGGTTAATTCATTGTGTTGTAAACTTGTTTCTGCATCATGATAATCGGTTCCACTGGTTCTTTATTAGTTTTACAAAACACAAAAAAATCACAATGATAATTGTCTTATTATTTATTATAGGGAAAAGAATTTAATTGGAAACTTAATGATACAATTATACAACTGGAAAATTCGATTAAAGCTGATTAAAAATGTTACACATACATGTAAACATGTCAGTTTGATAGGCTTGAACTATATTACGAGTTGGAAAATGAGAGCGAGGATCCCGGTGACATGACAGGCTACTCTAATTCGATTGCTACACAAACAAATTACTTACTTACTTTACTTACGCCTGTTACCCCCAATGGAGCATAGGCCGCCCACCAGTTTTCTCCAACAAACTCTGTCCTGGGCTTCCCTCTCCAGTTCTGTCCAATGTTTGTTCATTCTTCTCATATCTTTCTCTATTTCTCGGCGTAATGTGTTCCTTGGACTTCCTCTTTTCCTTTTGCCTTGAGGGCTCCATGTGAGGGCTTGTCTCGTGATGCAGTTAGGTGCTTTTCGTAGTGTGTGTCCTATCCACTTCCACCGCTTCTTCCTGATTTCCTCCTCCACTGGAATCTGGTTCGTTCTCTCCCACAGTAAGTTGTTGCTGATGGTGTCTGGCCAACGAATACGAAGTATTTTGCTTAGACAACTGTTAATAAACACTTGTATCTTCTGGATGATGTCTTTCGTAGTTCTCGAAGTTTCCTCTCCATACAGTAGAACTGTCTTGACATTTGTATTGAAAATCCTGATTTTGGTTTTGGTTGAAAGTTGTTTGGAGTTCCAGATATTTTTCAACTGTAGAAATGCAGCCCTTGCTTTGCCAATCCGTGCTCTCACATCTGCATCGGATCCACCATGGTTGTCGATGATGCTGCCAAGATATGTAAAGGTGTTAACGTCCTCCAAGGCATCTCCATCAAGAGTGATTTGATTGGTGCATGTTGTGTTGCATCGGAGAATTTTGCTTTTTCCTTTATGTATGTTGAGACCTACTGCTGCAGAGGCTGCTGCTACACTGGTCGTCTTCTCTTGCATTTGTTGTTGCGTGTGCGATAGAAGAGCCAGCTCATCTGCGAAGTTCAGATCGTCCAGCTGCGTCCTAACTGTCCAGTTGATACCATGTTTCCCTCCATACGTCGACGTCTTCATAATCCAGTCGATGACCAGGAGAAAGAGAAAGGGTGAGAGTAAGAAACCTTGCCTGACACCGTTCTTCACCTCGAAAGAGTCTGTCAGCTGACCCATTGTCACAAACAGTCATTGAGTAAAAGAAGAGGACTTGATATGAAGTAGAATCTGTGTTCTACAAGCAGCCAGAAAGTGCGAGGTTCGAGTCTAGGAGAGAATCAGGATCCCGGACTAGGAATCCGGGTCCAGGTCATAAAACGTTACAGATAATGTGTATTTATACAGTTAGGTCCTGACATTGATAGTCAGGACGACCAATGTGAAATAATATTGAAGTACGTGACATTGATAGCTAGGACGACCATAATATTGACAAGTAAGAATTGACCAATAGAATTATACTTACAAAAATAATTCTCTTAGGACATTTGATGCGCATATCCAAACGAACAACTTACTTATTATCAGTTAAATTATGTATGAGATTTTTTAATGAGATACGATTTCCACTTTGGTTAACATTCATTTCTTCTTTAACAATTTGTCGGATTGTTTGTGTCTGAGTTAATTCAGATTTCCAGTCTACTTCTACGTCATTCTCTGTCATATCTTGCATGTCTTTTCTATCTGAGTTACTTCCATGATTGATTTTGGCCGTGCATGTATGATGATCTTCCAAAGGTGAATCATTCTCACTAAATTCTGAATTAACTTTTTGAACGGAATTATCATATTTATGAGGTCCATACATTTCAGTATGATGAATGGATGGATCCTTATTCAGCAGTTTTTCGGTTAATTGAGACTGTGAACTTGATTCTGTATCTTGATAATCTGTTCCGCTGGTATTTTTATTTAACACAAGACAGAAATAGGTTCATGATGAACAAAATCACAGTGATACATGTTTTATGATGAAGTAATAGACGAATCATTGTTAGATCACTGTTAGAAACCTTCAAGAACCGGATAGCCATTTCGTTATCATATGGAAATCACCTGTTGTACGCTCCAAAGACTCCTGCTACTCACAGGATTCGAAATAATTCGGAAATAATTTTCAAATCACAAGTTCGGATAAGACTGTTTGTTTACTCACATCCCAAACAGGTAAGATACACGGATGATTGTTTTAATAAATGACTTATCTAACCAATTCAATTGTCCTTGATTAAAAGTACTGAATTATCAAAAATTAGTCAGTATAATTCTTGTCAGTCATATGTCGAATCTCATACTTCATTATTCCACAACTCAGTGAGAATCAGACTTAAAGGGGGTAATCGAGTATGTAGTTGATTCGTGTATTATCAAAACAGTCTGTTTCTACTTTTTAATTAGAGCACTCAGTCTGTTCTATAATTCACTCATTAATTCCGAGAGGTAATTTGCAGACACGGGATTTGTCACAGAGTTTTCTGACTTCTGATGACAATGAAGTTCGAGGGTATTAGACAGCTATTTTGAAAAAATTCAAGCAGGTCTTCAAGTAGGGACCAACGACCGAGTCGCAGTCGAACCCAGGGATTCTAATTCACGCCCCACGTTTTCGACGATAAGGTGACTAGATTGGTAAGTAGTGGTACACATTCCCAACTACGATCGTGAAATGATGTGGCTCCATGTTCGTATGCCACTAATGACAGCTGATTAACTCCTGACATTGATAAACTTCACTGGCTACAAACTCCCATCAGCGATTCGGAAACTCATTTAAGAGAACGTCAGTGGGAAGTTCACCATTTCTTTCCGCTAATTATTTGAAATTACAGATACGTAAAATTTCATAGGAGTTAACAGTAAAACACGATATTAAATCACTAAACACTGTTCCAATATGACAGGAATTTTTAAACAAATTCACAAAACAACAATTTCAACAACTTACTTTTCTTTATTACTTCCAAGACTACTTCCATCTGAAAAAAATCATTTGAAAGAAATGATAAAACAAACACATAGTTATGATTAGTGAATTACACAATCTAAAATAATTGTCTTCACAACAGAAAAACAAGCATTCGTCTTTGATCACAACACATGGCCTATACAACCAACAAAAGCACCATAAATCAGCTCACAATAGCGAATTATACAACTTTCAGTCAAATAGGTTTCGTTCTTACTAAAATAACATAAACATTCTAACATTTTAGAACCAATATTTAACAGCAAGTTTTTACAGTCAGTCAGTGAAATTCTTTCTGTACGAATCACATTTTCGAAAGGTGATGAAGTGCAGAAGGAACGCAAGAATTCATGAAAATACCGCGTATCTCGAGTTTGTTTATTTATTAAAAGTCTTGATTGACAGGTTGTTTGGTGCACTGATAAAATACGATCAGGGAACAGTGGCCAAACTATTGGTCCAATATCAACATGGTATACCTCCATCTATCACAGGTCAGTATTCTCTACTCCTTCATCAGTGATCCGCTGGTCGCATTTGAAATCCCAACGGTCAGTTTATTAGTTGGACACTGTCGTCATACTCTGGTCATGATGGGTAACAAATTAACTGTGGTAGCAAATAAGAAATATGAATGGTTGACTCGATACTCCATATTACAAAGCTATTTTATCATAATTTAAATCAATATGAGAATAACAAACTTCCATTTTTCTATGTACAATGACTTACTTATTTGAGTATTCTGCTAAAAATTGAAAAGAACAGTTTAACAAATAAATGAATGTTAATTATTTACTCCATCTGTTTAAAACACACACAAAAGTCAGAATTTTCTCTTTATTATACCAATCAAAAGTTTCAATGAATGTACAGCCTATCACAAAAAAATATTAATTGGCTTGAGTTCTCACACAACCTTAGCAAAACACAATGAGATTAACAAAATCAATGTCAAATAACTCAAAATAATAACAGCATTATTGGACAGTGAGTGAGAATGACTCAACATTGAGAACAAGATCTACGAAGATGGAATGCGAAGATATCTATGCAGAAATACTGGAACTAGAGAGCCAAAGTTCGCATGAGGAATGAATACAACTGTACAGTTGCGACAGATTCTCAGTCATGCAACTCTAAGTCTCAAACTAGTGATTGCGATTATCACTTGTTGGATTACAACAACACCTATCACCAAAATTAATTGTTTTATTAATTACATCCCGGGATAGCCTGATACTTGTCTTTCCTCCGGACTTTGGAAATCGAATAAATGATCATTTGTTGGCAAAGGGACCTTACGAAACAATAACGACACCAGAATGCAGAGGATACCAGGATCTATCTTTGGTGAGCTTGTAGAGATACCTACTACTGGTAGAATGAGCTAGCAGTTCAGTCCTCCTGTTGTTGTCGCTCGGAAACAGGACAGCACTCTTCACATTCAAGTGAACTTCTAGAAATCTGTAGCCACATCCTTTCACATCTCACTGACATCCTTTCACTCACAAATTGTAAGTGGAGAAATAACTTTTCCAATGAAAACACTGATTGAAAATTGCATGTTTAACAAGACAAAATCTATCAAACTCCCTTTGTTATCTTCAATAATCTTCGACATCCTATAAAGCTTGATTAACTGATATTTCCGAGACAGTCGTATCCTTTATGTTCCAAATCATGAGAAAAATTCATAGCTCAAGTGGTGAGTTTTGGTGATATTAAACTCTCTGAGTAAAATTATCATCTACAACATCTTCATGTTTGATTTCATGAAGAAGTTAGTTTTCACTTAAAGGACAAGTGTTCAGTCAATCTTGTATGTAATTCGTTGTCTTCGTACATTTTATTCACTTTAATGATCTTCGCATTCCAGCTGACCTCAAACCATACGACAGAAAACTTCTCCCGCATAAACCTAAGCGGAACTCCTCTTTGAGAAAACCACAATCACCACCAATCTACAAACTATCAGAGTTACAATTTCCACTCTATACCAAATTGTAGGTGGATTCACCTAAGTCTCAATGCAATATTTTAATTGTTGGCAGTTAAACTGTGCTGTATGTGAAGGCAACAACACCTATAGTAATATTTGATCGTTAATAGGATTCGCTGATATTTGATCTTAGTCGGAAACATGTTCAATGGGAATCCGACTAACTGGCAAGGTGAACACAGTTAGACACCTGTAAATCAGAGAGAATGATATGGCATACTTCTCAAGATCCATCACGGTATATTCGTCCAATCTGTCCTGATACTTTTAAGTGATCGTACCTTTTAAAATCGATCCGTGACACAAACTACAAACTAATCAGTATTCAAACGTCAAACACTTACATAAACTGATTTAGATGTATTTTCACTGTCACCATCTAGAACTGGTTCACAATTCGATAATTTTCTTGCTTTCCCATTCATCACACGTTGATATACTTCTGAATTAGATTCATAATTGTTTTGACCATTGAATATTTGTGCTTTCTCATTACTGATCCCATGATTGCCACTAGCATTTGTAAACCCACACACAGCAGCAGCAGCAGCAGGTTGTGTGGGTAAATGTTCCGGCATGGCGACATGTTTTGCATTAGATTGAGTAAATACATTTCTCAATTCCAATAATTCCTCCTGTGAATAATTTGAAGTTGAAACAAATGCAGTAATAGTAATAATTACGGTGAATATCAATTTGATGACAAATCAGTTCATTAGGTTTAGTGAAATGTGTTGTGACCACCATCATCATTAGTTGTAAAATAATGAACGAAACTGGCGAGATCAGCTTCAATAAGTTGCATACCGTTGTAAGCACTCTCTTATTTTACTTGCTCCTACAATTCTTTTGTTACATCTATCTCCGACGTCAATGAGAAATTTCTCCTACTACAACAACAACTTATTCAGATGATTTTATTGAACCATCCCACTGTGTGAACCCTTTCCACCTTTATTATTAAGTGACCTTCACAATTTACAAATAACAGTATATTTAAACATTTATACTGTAATAGTTGAGAATTTTTTCACCATTTTTCTAACATGTAACTTTGTCCAATACATTGGTGCGTGCTTTATTTTGGCCTTCGTAAAATAGTGCAATAATAATAGACTTATTTATTATAACTGTGGAGCCTGATGACGAACTAACTGAAAACAACTGTTATTTCTCATAGTAAGTACTTCAATTAGTATTATTCACGACAGTACATAACCCTGTACATCTTGAATATATAATACCAAGAACATCTTACCTGCATTCCATTGTTATTATCGTCCTTTGATTCAAATTCATTATTCCATGAATCTTCTCCGTTTGACATCCTAATAATACAAAATTGTTAAATGATTGATGACATTAAAAGTACAATAAGAAATCTAAACATATATATCAAAGTTGCTTACATATGACTGGTCACTCATTAGTGCTCATGTCACGTTTGCTTATTTGTGAACACAATTTATAATGGTCACCAGTATTTCTAACAGCAAAGTGAAATGTCGACACCCTATGAAATGCATGCACTGATGCCATATCACTGTATATCTTCTATTTCGAACTCAGCTGGACGCATCTCTACACACACACACACAGAACAGAGGGCTGCAGCATTCGTCTCATCCACCTACAGTAAAATCTGCTTCAATCGTAGTAAGCCTTTTGATTAACGAATATCAGTGAATGTTTAGACAGTAAACAGAGTACTCATTTCTCAACGTCATCAGTGATATGAGCTTAACTGACGTATTAGTCCATGTGAAAGTATCAACCTATTAAATATTAAGCTACAGCTTTGATGAAGCTGGTAATCATGTTACTTTTTTTTCTGACCTTACTTCTAATACCATCATTGTAATCATGATTCTCGTAATATCAGTTAGTCAGTTACAACGTAGAACTTCGTACGTACGTAAATCAGTTCAGCTGGCTATAACACTTTAGCACAGAGACGCATTTGTTAATTCCAATCACATAGTAGAGGTAGAGATAGTAGAAGTATTAGCAGTAATCAAAAAGATTAGCGTTAGAAGATATAATTCAAAAAGTATGATCTAGTGATATAGATTTAAAAAGAGAAAGCTAGAAGTGGTGAAGAATTTAGAAGATTAGAATTTGAGAAAACACCAAGAGTGGATGTTTCGGCCACAATGCAAACTATTTTGAGCTATGTCATTCAAGGTCCCTACCCTTCGGTTACTATCATCTCGCGGACACCAATCAGGTAGTCTACACCTACCAACGTGGCTCAGTCCAGCAGTCGGGAACTTTATAGAGATGTGCCATTTTTTGGTTTGACCGTCTGTAGGTTCCCTCCAGCCTACCACTAGGCCACAAAATATAGCTCATCGAGTCACTTGATAGACACACAATATCAACTAACTTAAATACAGATTCTAATAACTACTGCATAATACTAGACAATTTAACGTTTATCAATGACAATCGATAAGATTTCAATGTAGAGTAATGCTCAAGTGAGTTTCTTAATTTTTAAAAGCTGCATTTTACCGCCGAAATCTGAACTGTATTCGCCAAATAACCTAGTAGTGATTCCCAGTGATCGACATCTGGCACTTGTTGAATGTTTTCAAACGAAGTCAAAATTATCATGTGTAACTACTTGGTCATGAATCGCCTTTCTTAAGAAGGGTATCATGTTTTGATGACAACTACCCATAATGTACATTTTAAAAAATTTATTTAACTGAAGATATTATTATTATTGCTACTAATACTGGTTAAGCGCGAAAATGAGTTACACATATTGATCTAAAATTTGACTCCTAATGGTCAAGCAATTGTCACAGTAAGATAAGTCACACGAAATAAACACAGTGAAAGGTAAAAACATTCATTCAGATTATGATATACAGTAGAGACAATTACAATCGAGGTTATGGTTTAGTCTGTTTGATCTACAAACAGCTCTAAGCATTTCCCATCACAGAGCGTAAAAATGGCATTTCTAATAAACGTCAAATACTTTCGATTCATGCAGACTCAGTTCATTGGTCGGAAATAATTTTCAAATCACAAGGTCATTCAGATGAGGCTGTTTGTTTACTCACATCCCAAACAGGTAAGATACACTGATGATTGTTTTACTGAATGACTTATCTAATTGTTTCTATTGTCCTTGATTAAAAGTACTGCATTATCAAAAATTGGTCAGTATAATTCTTGTCAGTCATTTGTTGAATCTCATCCTTCAATATTCCACAACTCAGTGAGAATCAGACTTAATAGGGACTAATCGAGTATGTAGTTGATTCGTGTATTATCAAAACAGTCTGTTTCTACTTTTTGATTAGAGCACTCAGTTTGTTGTATTATTCACTCATTAATTTCGAGAGGTAATTTGCAGAGACGGGATTTGTCACAGAGTCGACCGACTTCTGGTGACAATGAAGTTCGAGGGTATTAGACAGCTATTCTGACACAATTTAAGCCCGTCTTCAAGAAAGGACCAACGACCAAGTGCGAGTCGAACCCAGAAATCCAAGTTCAAGCTTCAAGTGCCCAACGATAAGGCGACTACATTGACAAGGAGTGGTACTCATTCCCAACTCCCATCGTCAAATGAAGAGGTTCCCTGTTCTTATACCACTAATGACCGTTGATTCACTCATGACACTGATAAACTTCACGGGCCAGAATCTCCCACTAGCGATTCAGAAATTCATTTAAAAGAATGTCAGTGGGAAGTTCACCATTTCTTTCCCCTACTTATTTGAAATTCCAGTTACGTAAAATTCCATAGGAGTTTATAGTAAAACTTGATATTAAATCACTAAACACTGTTTCAATATAACAGGAATTCTTAAACAAATTCACAAAACAACAATTTCAACAACTTACTTTTCCTTATTACTTCCAAGACTACATCCATCTGAAAAAAATTCATTTAAAAGACATGATAAAACAAACACATAGTTATGATTAGTGAATTACACAATCTAAAATAATTGTCTTGACAACAGAAAAACAAGCATTATTCTTTAATAACAACCGAAAAAGCCCCATAAATGAACTCAGTCAAATAGGTTTCGTTCTTACTTAAATAACACAGACATTCTAACATTTTAGAACCAATATATAACACCAGGTTTTTACAGTCAGTCAATGAAATTCTGTCGGTATGAATCACATTCTCGAAAGGTGATGGTGTGTAAGAGGTATGTTAGAATTGATGGAAATCACGCGTATCTCGAGTTTGTTTATTTATTAAAAGCTTTGGTTGACATATGGTATGATGCAGTGATAAAATACGATCGGATATCAGAGGCCAAACTATTGATCCAAT